CTACTATTCTTTCTTCATCACTTTTTCTAAATATGATTATAAATTCTTTTAAAAATGAATTCAAATCATAAAAGAGTGATGAATCTTTTTTTTATTAAAGATGCAAATCAAGCAAGAGTCCTTCCAAAAAGAAGTGTGCTTATGAATTCAACTCAAGTAAATCCATTAGAATATTAGAAAAGATATATCCTTAAATAGAACATAATTTGTTACAAAAATCCTTGAAATTTTGATCTTGTTCCATCAAAATTTTTGGACATATTAATTCTTGCCTCCCTTTTGCTTATAAAAGTAAGACTTCTTAAATTTAATTGTAATGCTAATCTACTTATTTTTCTCAACAGTACAACTTCTATATAAAGACTTTAGACTTTTTTTCATAAGTGTAAAAGCTTTCATGGTTGGCATATGTGATGTGTAAAATTTCTTTTGTAAGAGTTTTGACAAGCTCATAAAGATTTGTGGTAGTTGCAAATCTATTCTCATTTTTGTTAAGTATGGCATTTATAAAAAATATATATATATATATTTCAAATAACTTAATAAATTTATAAGTCAAATTAGAAGAAGGTAATATGCAACCTCTAATATCAAATGAAAATTTCTACAAAGAAGAGTGATTTACTCTCATTAAGGAAAAAATCAATGTTAGAAAATTAAATTATTTGTTTAAAAGTAGATAGTTTGCAATCTTCAAAATATAATATTAAGATTAGAATGGCTATTTCCAAAGATAAGAAGAATATAGACTCTTGAAATTAGACTTAGAACAAAAAAGGCATTGACAAGAGTGACAAAAGCTTCATTCTTGCTTCTATATATATTATTTAACTAAGAGCTATGTGATAATGTTCTAGACGACCTCCAACACATCTTGACTTTACAAGATCCATGACTTAACTTGCAAGGCAAGTTTTTTATATGTGTGCCACATAGTTAGCTTGTTCCATAAGCTATTAACATAGATGATACATGGCTAACTTGTTGACTAAGTTTTTAACCTATCAATCAAGTACAAACATGTACAGAGTCAAAGTTGCATCTATGAAACTTTTAAGAAACTTCTTTAAAAGATATTATAAAATTAATCTATTTTTATTTACTTCTACTTAATCATATAGTTAATTATTAGAATAAATATGTATGTTTGTGACATAAGGTCAAATCAAAGGACTTCATTAATGTGGCAAGTATATAAAAAGCTTTGACATTTTATAGTGTATATATCATATTTTATGTCAAGGTTGTATTTTTCAATAGTATTTTGTTGCTTAAAGACAATAATAGATAAAAATAATTGAACATTTAAAGAATTGTATTCCTTTTCGTCTTCTTATTAATGATTATAAATATCTTAAATTAAAAATTGTACTAATTGTCTTCTTTTGTTTTAAATGTGGTGGAAAAAAAATGTTGTTATTACACTATTATATAATCATTGCCATTATGGGTGGTGTATGGCATGCTTAACACCACCTCTTTTGACTTTTCTTTCAAGAAATTGGATTGGTTTTTATTATAGGAAGTGTTTCATTGATGTCTCATCTATTAATAAAAATTAACAACTTTTTCTTCTGGATTTGCAACATATTTTTGTGGTTTAGGTACCATAATATCAACTTGGATGTGTATAGTTTTTGTTGCAACATTACTATAGCATTCATCTCCAATTATGTGTATGTTGTCATCCAAGTTTATTGGTGGGGCTTTTAATCAACTAAAATATACACTTCAAAGTATGTTTGTCATGCATTCTAATTTAGTTTTTGATTGCATATTAAATGATGGTATTTGACACTTAATTTGTTATATATGCCAATCTTTATTTATACAACAATACAAAAAGACTCTAATTCATCATAAATCTTTTCAAGATAATTTTAAAAAATATATAGTTATTTGTATTATAATGTAAATGGTATTGATTAAAAGCAAATAAGATGTAAAACAAAAAAAAAAAAAAACAACAAAAACAAAAAAAAACAAAAAAAAAAAAACAAAACAAAAAAAAACAAAAAAAAAAAAAAAAAAAAAAAATTCTTAGTAGAATATCAATTTTATTTTTAAATTTATTTGAAATTTATATATATATATATATATATATATATATATATAATTATTCCTTAATATCAAAATCAATTTTATATCTAATAGAATATTATTTCTTATGTGTAATAATTTACATGTAAATTTTAATATAATAATTATAGAACAAATAAGGTACTAAATCTTAGTTCCAAAATAATTACAAAAAAGTACAAAATACATTAGATTACATATTTCAGATGCTATTGATGTTAAAAGGTATTTTTTTTCTTATTTAAATTATAGTTTTGATCTTGGATATTTTAATCTTTAAAAAATTATCCAAAATATTATGTTGTTACTTTTTGGTGATTAAGGTTAAACATTGATAAGCATAAAATAATTATCTTGAATTATTTAGATTGTATGCTGAATTGAATTAAAAATCCTAAATATTGATATATTTAAAAATTTACTAACCTCATCAATATTTTTTATGAACTACTTTTAATGCTAAAATAAGCATTAAATATTCTAAGAGTATTTTTATTTTTTAAATATTAAGAAAAACATATTTTTATTCAATTTTATACATATTTAATTGATAATTTTTTTAAAAGGATAAATTTAGATAATAAATAAAGGCTTTGATTTGTCAAGGAACTATATGGATTTTAAACAAATTTTTTATAATATTAAATTTCAAATTTCAAATAGTTTATGTAAAATTAATATGCATAGAAATAAATATTTTGGAAAAATATTTTTAAATTTATTTAAAAAAAAAAAAAAAAAAAAAAAACCTTTAAAGTAATACATATATTTTTACAATGGTTATTATAGATGCAATGTACAATTATGTTAGCTATTGTAACTTCTAGAATCTGAAATAGAGGCAATTAAGTGAGCTATTATTACTCACACATCTATTCATTGTACTTTTTCAAAATTAGAAATAAAACTTGTATTGCAATTATTATTTTATTGCAAGATTGCAACAAATTTTAAGAAATTTTGTGCATTTGGTGAAATAAATAATATTAATTACAAAAAATAAATAAAATATTTTGATATTATTTCATACTTTATTATATATATGCATTTCTTACATTTGTCTTATTTAATTTAAAGAATAAGAGATTTAAGAAATATCATAACTTACTAGCTTTGTAAAGTATTTATTTATTTATTTATTTATTTATTTATTTAATAAGTATTAGCATACATTTAGTTTTGTTTTAAAAACCTAAATAATGCAACTTGCATTATAATTTTTTTTTATATATAATTATAAGATAAATGATTTCTCATATTTGACATTGTTAAATAATAATAAAATATTGTTGTTTATGTGTCTAAGTCTTTTTGTTGGTATTTTCTTTTGAACCTCTAGATGTTTAATCTTTATAAAAATTAGACTATATTGTGTTGAATTTAAGCTTTTTAAGAATTCCAATCATGAAGTAAATCTCTATTATAAACACAATTACAATTTTTTTGCTTTAATTTCTAAAATCCAATGTTGAATCTTGCCAAAAAAATGCCAATTATTAAATTTGTTATTTATTGAGTAGAAGTGATTAAAATAAATCAAGATTTTTGATAGTTTGAGCTTTCTTTCTTTACTAACAATGTAGATTTGGTAGAAGCTAATTATAATAAATATTTTTATGTTAAAATAAATATTTAATTATTCCAACAAATACTAGCATATCATGTTTAAAATTTTATTCTAACTCAAAGATATTATAACATGGTTTTGTAAACATTTTATTGTTATTTTTTGTTATAACAACTTGTACATGTGGATGGAATAATGTAACCATTGTGAAGTATTACAAAGTAAAATCATTTTATTTACATCTATGATACTTTGTGAGAGGTATACTTTGTGAATAATATGTAATCAATGATAATAACAATTTTCAATAAAAAATGTAGGTGGACATGATTTGAAAATTTAATAAAAAAATGTTGCTTTTATCCACATTCACAAAAATCTATATATATAAAGAGAGAAATATATATATATATATATATATATATATTACAAGTGAAAGTAATTAATTAAATGTGCATATATTGAGAGAGAAAGAGATAGATTTTGAATCCAACATATAAAACTTGGTATAAGTATAAAAATAAAAAATGCCAAACTATTTTTATTCTAAAGTTTTTGTATTTGAAGTTGAATTTTTATAATTTAAACAATAATTTATATTTATTATAGATGTAGTTATTAGTAACTATAAATTACATTGTATTTATTAAATTTAAGATAAGAACTTTAAGATTCTTGAAGTTTGTATAAGTATTTGTATTCTTGCCTATCTATAAGTTAATGTATTCCAAACTCAAAATCTGATGTATTATTATGTTACTGGAAAATATTGCTTTGTGTTAAGGCCTCTGTAATAATCCTCATTTGATTTTTGGAAGACTTCCAAGTTGAGTTATTGAAACAAGACGACAAACATGATATTTTTAGAAATAATTAACTTTTTAAATCTATATATTAATAGCAAAACTACTTTTTCATTCTATTAATGAATGAACAAAACTTACATATGCAATAACTATTAACAATTGTCTAAAGTAATCATTACAAGACATAAAAAGTAATCTTTAAACCTTTCTATTCATTTATAACCAATTGTATATAGCTCTACATATAGCTCTACATACACACTGCCAAGCTATTATAGAGTTGTTGGTCGTAAGAGTATATCTATTAATGCTGCAAAATCTGATCTAAAAACCTTCTGAAACAAGTTCATAAATGGACTTTGGAAGAAGTAGTTACAATTATCACATATTCCTTTTTTAATTTATTTTACATAACCATAATTTTTTGCAAAGATACATCTATATATAATTATATAATCAAAGTATTTTAATTATTTTAAAAGATTTTTTGCACAAAATCTTTACATATATACATACATAAAACAAGCGTATTATGCCCAAAGAGGAAGTGAACAGCGAACTTACCACAAACTGTACAGAAACAAAGTTAGCAGTGTTAACTTACTACTTATTTACAAGCTTGGACATTTGTATGATGCCACAATACAACTGAATACTCTGTCAAACCTTGTATCCCCATGTGATGACACTGCGGGGGTAACATCTAAGAAACGTAACTCCTAGGCCGAAATAATAACTTAGCCAAAAGAAGAGATCAAAAGCATGTAATTGCTCATGTTATACAAGGCAATCACCGAAATTCTACCTTCTGGGTATGCAAACATCATAACATGCTTATACGCCAATTTCCGAAACAGTGACGCGTTACTTCACCTGTTTAGATTCTACTAAGAAGATCCACTGAAAGAACCAATGGTTCCGTGGCTGCTCTTCATCAACTCACTGCTTCCTCCATCTCATTAGATCTTATTTATCTTGTCAGCTTTCACCACAGGATTGGCCTTCGATATTGAATCACGTCCAGCCAACTTGTAGTCAAAAGTGCAACTGTGTTTGTCAGAATATCGATGTGCAGAACAAAATAAATTGCCACATCGGCACTCAAAGCCCGTGAGACCCAATCGTTTCTTGCAGGAGAAGCAGCGGTTAGGCCTTGACCGGGACGGATCCTGCCCCGAGGCAGAGGCGCCAGAAGAAGCACCAGCAGCTTCGGGCTGTGTACTTGACAGACAAGAGTTCTGGATCTGGGCCCTGTCAGCTACGGGTTCTTGTGTTTCATACACAGGTGGAGATGCCCCGGCAATTTTCGCAGACGATGTTCTGGACTGCGACAACACAAAGTCCCTGTAGCATTTCGAACACATTCCCATAGTTACAGCACTGCCGAAAAACCCACAGTTGTTGGTGCATCTTACGGGACCTTCGGGAACCTGACAATTTGTCTCCTCTGTATCCGGTTTCCGACCGTACTGAGCCATGGCTTTTGGATACCCACAACCAGCTTCAAAAATCAGGCACTGGGTGTAGATCAGCAATAGATGTAAAACAGATGTCTGCACCTGGGAGAATCGGAGCCAACTCGAAATTTGTAAAGAAGCAAAACCTCCCAATTCGCCAAAATATACAGGAGCGCAATTGTTGGATAAAACAGCCTTTCACAAGACGCTCTTCACTGCAAATACCAATTCACATCAGACTAAAAAAAACTTCGATGAGTTTCACTGAAGCTCCCTCAACATGGAACCAGCCCCACGTTTTAAGATAAGGTGAATGATGCTGTAACAAACGTCAAACACATACACACAAACCGTACCGAAAAGAAAAAGATGAAATCAGAAGAACCTACGTCTAGAAACCACTTTCTTTCTAATCCTGTAAAACCAAACGGACACGTTAAAACTAAAACTTTTTTGGCGATCTTCTGGCCACGCGACCCGACTTCCTCGTTTCAAGGTTGGCACCAAAAGTGCCTAACTCGAGTAATTTAGCTTATACACAGCAGAGAGGCTATCCGCTGCCGCATATTGCAGGACTACACGTTCTTGGAGTTTATGCAAACGTTTTTCATAATATGTTCTTTTATATATTACAGAGTTATGATAATAATTGAAACAAGGATGCGCCAACAAAAACACGGAATATGTAGATGTATCTGTGTTCCCATTACTTGTCAAATTTACCTTGTAAGAACAAAAAAGAGTCGTTACAACGTGTAAAAAAACCCTAATTTATACCTGGTATCTCATCCGTCAACTTAGGTCAAGACCAGTAAATCCACACACGAAAATTGAAATGTCACGATCTCAACCACTTTCGCACGCTGCAGATGTGGTGTGTAAAACAAAACTGCAAGGTAAGTTAAAGCATAGAAATATAAACCCGCACGGAGCATGAAATGAACAACAGACGAAAAAGAAGGTTTAATACATTCTAAACTTCCGCCACTGAAGTCGTTCCTTGCAACTGTCTGAAGTCTAAAGTTAACAACCAATCAACCCAACAACTGTCCTAATTTCCGCATCAAGAGCTCCTTGATATTTTAAGAGAAACTCTTTCGACTTTCATCTTTTCAAAAAGATTGTTGTTTTCTACCCAGACTGCAAGGGCTCGTTCACTGCATCTAAAATCGATAATGTCCCTAATCCTATAATTAAAGCTAAAAATGACATTCTATACACCTAACACAAACATATCCGCGCAATACCAAAAGCTCGTACAGACATTCACAAAGATTGCGGAGCACCTTCTAGCCATTAGCCGCATAAGAAACCCCCTCAGGAACTAATCCATAGGCTAAAGCGCCCCTTCTGTCAGCTACACGACTGATAGAATTCCACGGCACGACGAATCCTGTGCCCGCGAAACATCAGCATCCTCTCCACAATCCCAGCAACCAAAAGTACTAACGACGGGGAAACACTCCTCCCCGCCACACAGTCCAACACCCAAGCCAGTAAACAAATCTCCCAAACTCTCCTAGATTCCCTCCTCAACACCTCCAACGGAGCCGAAGCGAAGAATTTCATGGCCACATATCAAGAGAACAAAAGGAAAGAAAAGAACAAAACAGGTATGCTCGAACTCTCACCCCGGGTCATCGCCACGGCGCAATCAGCTCCGTCATCGACACTCCTCCCACCTCTTCCGCTGCACCAGGCGAAAACCCACGTCGTAGACACAGTCCCAAAGACCCCCAAAATCTCAAGACGAGACTCTTCTCCCTCTCCCCCTCCTTCTTCACCACCACCACCACCAAACACTTAACCCTCACGACGCCCGGCTCGGTATTTCCCCACCGCCACCAATCGCAGCATTGCTGCAGGGCACTCCCAACACTCACAACCAATACAAGAGGGACCCACGACTGCTCAGCAAGTAAGGAAGACGACGATAACCAGGAGGAGGACAAGGAGGAAGAATAGGGGAGATTAAAAGGGCGAGGGGGATGAAAAAGAACAAGCGCAAGAAGGATTCCTCGCCGCCGAGGAGGACCTGGAATCCAATCCGCACTCTCCGTGGAGGAGTCCCGAACCCCCTCCCTGGTAGTAGTGATCTCTCGCCCCTCCCCCTCCCTTTTCTCCGAGTGAGTGAGTGAGAAGTGAGTGAGTGAGAAGTGCCTTCAATCCGGGCTGCAGAGACGGAGTCCGATTTTACCTGCACCGCGGCATCACTCTCCTCTCCACTCTCTTCTTCCTCTGTTTCCTCTCTTCATTTGTACAGTAAAATCGTGGAGCCTTCCAGAACCTGGGAATCCCCCACTTCTCCGTGCCATGTCTGCGCGGCCGTAGGCTCCCCTGCTCTCTAAATTTGGGGCTCGTGGGGCTGGATTTCATAGCCACCACATGCTGCACTCGGTTATGGAAAACAACGCCGTTGAGCATGAGGGAGCTCGTTGTTGTGGGGCTCTCATTCTCTCTCCCCCCCTTTCTTAGGAGTTTGTAGGGGAATCATTTGAACAATGCAAACTTAGCTATGAATTTTGTGTATTTAGATCCCCCTCCCCCCTTCAAGGTGCCTATTTGGAGGTGACTGTGTTATTGAATTTGTCCAAACAATGTTTCTTTGTCATGTTGTGTTATTAGGAGACAAACTGTTACTTTAGTTCAGTACCAAAAAGAAAGAGGGATGTGTGCATTTGGTGTTTTGATGGTTCCTGTTTTAGCTTCTAGTTGTTAGGTGGTATCGATTGCTATGTGGAAAATAGAATTGAAACTCTTAAAAGATATTTACAATCTAAATTTAGATTGTAATATCCTTAAATCAATGAATTAATTAATTAAAAAATATATATTATATTAAATAATTATTTATATTAGTATAGTTCCACTTTATTAATAAGATTAAGTTTAAAATTATCATCTAATAATATATTATTTATTATATAATTAAATTAGTAGTATTGAATGTTTGTTATAATAATTACTAATAAAAATAATATTTTTAGTATTATGTTATATTAATAATATATATTTTAAAGATAATTTAATAATTATAATTATTTGTATATATATATATATATATATATGAGAAGGTTAAATTGACCCCAATAGTTATTAATCCAACCTACCCATTATCATAATCACAAAAAAATATATCATTATTTGATTCCAGCAACACCTATGTGAATCCAAAATTGAAAAATAGATTATCATAGTGTAACAAGTCACTATATACATTATTAAACGATCAATTGGATTAATAATAGATACTTATCTTTGGATGTTTTATCAAAGATGTTTTACCAATGTCTCACATACTATTTGTTATAGAGTTGCTCGCAATGGCAACAATACTTGATAAAATTGAATAAGATTTAGATTTGCCTTGCAATATAACACTCAATATTTGGATCTTCACTTTGAGTCACAATAATACAAATAGGCAACTTAATATTTCTCAAGATAAGTAAACAAAAAGACTTCTATTTTATCTATTTTACCTACTAATATTATTTAAGTAATTATTAGAATAAATATGGATGTCTATAACAAAAATAGACAATTAATCTTATTTGTCTCATTGCATTTGTATGTGTATTGATATGTAGCATCATGAAGATTTTTGTTAAAATGTGAATGGGCAAACGACCATGAAATGAGCCTAATAAAGTTGTTGGCATTCAAAATAGATAGTACTCGTAACTACTAAACTTGTAGACTCCCTTTGGTGTAGTGTAATAACGACATTGCTTAGAGCTATCTAGATAACAATCATTTGAGTAGTCAATGCCTTTTGTGCATAGTGAAGGCAATAAGCAATTGAATGTCTTACCACCAATGTCCATGGACCATGATTATGACTTCAATTTTGAACCAATAAGTGCTACCGTTTGTTTATATATAAATAACAAAAAAAAATAATTTAAATGCATGGCATATGAGCCATTGTCACGGACATATATTAATTCTAATTATTATCTAGGTGATATGAATAAGTAGAAGTAGATAAAAGTAGATTAATTTTATAATATCTTATAGAGAAGCTTCTTAGAAGCTTCATAGATGCTGCTTTGACTTTACATGTATTTATATTTGATTGATAGATTAGAAACTTGGTCAACAAGTTAACCATGTGCCACATATGTTGGTAGCTGGCGGAACAAGCTCACTATGTGGCGCCCACATAGAAAACTTGCCTTGCAAGTTAAGATATGTGTTGTGCAAAGTCAACATGTTTTTGGAGGTCCTATAGAACGTTGCCACATAGCTCTTAGGTAGATAGTATATATAGAGGCAAGAGTGAAGCCTTCTTTACTCTTGTCAACTTCTTTCTTGCTTCTAGTCTAGTTTCAAGGGTTTTTAGTTTTCTTGCCTTTTGACAATAGCCATTCCTGTTTCTTAATATACATATTTAGTGATTTCTATTTTGTCATCTTTCTTTAAAAAAAAGTCTCACTGGTTTATTTGTTTTTATCAAGTTCTTGTCCTTGACAGATTGACAAGAGTACACTTACAATATCAAAGCTTTGTCTAATCTTGATTAAAAGTAGATTACTTCTTTTTCTTGATAAGACGTAAGCATATTAGAAGTTGCAGATTACCTTTTTCTAAACTGATATTATTTTTAGTATTTTTTTTGTTCTCAAGTCCTCTCTTCTATTTATCTTGAGCGATATTAAATATCTTCTCTTTTCTAAGTATTATCATGGCAAAATTTGCTAAAATGGAGAGTGCAATGGTACAAATGTAAGAGCAATTGAGGGAGTTAATGCTTGCAATGCATCAATTTAATTTATCACTATAAAAAGTAACAAGATTTGCAGGAAGTAAAGATATAGAAATGATTGAAGTTGCTTCAACATCTGCATCAAATCAGGTCCCTTCTCCTATGGTGGAACACCCTTCTAGTATTAGAGAACCAAGAATTATCCTACTTGAGAAGTTTGATGGTACCAGATCAAAGTTTAGAAGATTTATCAATCAAGTACAACTTGAGATTGATATTATCATAGTTTTCATCTTTTTTTGAATGAAAAATCTAATATTGCATAATCTAGAGGCTTTTTTGGTAGAGTTTTGATCTATGTATGGAGAACATGATGCAATTTGTGTTGCAACCAACAAGATTTGTATTTTGTAATAAGACAATCGATCAATAACATTGTATGCTTCACAATTTTGACAACTTGCAACTGATATCAAGTGAAATGATGTTGCATTTGTTAGCCAATTTCTCTACAAATTATAATATGAGGTAAAAAAATTAATACTCAACTTACAAGATCTTCAAACATTGAATCAAGCAATTGACTTTGTTGTGAAGTGCGACAATCATCTTTTTGAATTTCGATTCGAAAACCGTATAAGTGAACCTCAACATTACTATAATTCAATGGCAACACCAACATCTCTTCAACACATACATTTAGAAGTAGAAAATATGTAAATTGATGTGGTATGTTTCAAACCTCTTACTAAGTAAGAAAAGACTCATCGTCATCACGAAAGATTGTGCTTATATTGTAGAGAACCTAAGCACACTACTCAACATTACCCAAAGAAGTAATGCAACCATAAAATGAAGAGAATGGCTATCAAAGAAGATAGTATGTCAAAAAATGAGTTTGTCCAACTACAATAGGAACCGTGCGACTTGTGCAATACCTAGTAGAGGTCTTATTCGCTCTTCAAAATCCTCTCTTTGTTTTACAATAAATGTTATTTTAGAAACTAAACCTCACAAAGCTTCTACCTTGTTAGATTCAGGAGCCTTAACATGTTTCTTAGATAAAAAATTTGCTAAAAGACATAGCATACATTTAGTAAAGAAAACTAAATATGTGTCACGGCCATAATCATGTAAGCTAATAATTACATATAGAAATAGGTAGAAGTAAGTAAAAGTAAATAAAAGTAAGTTAATTCTATAATATTTAATATAAAAGCTTCCTAGAAACTTCCTAGACGCTGCTTTGACTTCATAGGTGTCTTTAATTGACTTTTTGGATTAGAAACGTAGTCAACAAGTTGGCCATGTGCCACACATGTTGTTAGCTTGAAGATCAAGCTAACTATGTGGCCCACATGTAGAAAAACTTGCCTTGTAAGTCAAGGCATGTATCCTACAAAGTCAACACATATTGGAGGTCCTATAGAACGTCGCCACGTAGCCCCTAGTTAGATAGTATATATAGAGACGAGAGTTAAGGCTTCTTCACTCTTGTCAACTCCTTTCTTGCTTCTAGTCCAGGTTCAAGAGTCTTTAGTTTCTTGTCTTGTGGCAATAGCCATTCCAGTTTCCTTTTAATATACCTACTTGTTTATATTTTGACTTATTATATCGAGATAGCTTATTTGTATATTTTCCCTCATCGAGTCTTTGTCCTTAACAGATTGACAAGAGTACACTTACAATATCAGAGCTTTGTTTTTCTTCAGTGAGAGTGGATTACCCCTTTCTCTTGACAAGACATAAGCGTATTAGAAGTTTACGGATTACCCACTTCTAAACTGATATTGTTCTTAGTATCTTCTTTGTTATCAAGTCTTTTTTTTCTTTTGTCTTGAGCAGTATCAAACAAATTTTTCTTAGTGTCATTATGGCAGAGCTTGTTGAAATGAAGAGTGCAATGGCACAAATGCAAGAGCAAATGAGGGAGTTAATGCTTGCGATGCATCAACTCAATTTACCAACACATGAAAGAACAAGAATAGCAGAAAGTGGGGATATAGAGATGATCGGAGCTGCTTCAACATCTACAACAAATTACGTTCCTTCTCCAATTGTACAACACCCTGTAAGCACTAGAGAACCAAAAATTGCCTTACCCGAGAAATTTGATAGTACGAGATCTAAGTTTCGAGGGTTCATCCATCAAGTACAATTGGCAATTGAACTTCAACCGCAAAGCTATCCAACTCCCGGATCACAAGTCAGGTTTATTGGCACTCTACTTTCTGGTTCTGCATTATCATGGTTTTCGTCTTTTCTTGAACAACGAAATCCAATATTGGACAATTTAGAAGCTTTTTTGGCAGAGTTTCGATCTATGTATGGTGAACACGATGCAACTCGTGTTGCAACAAATAAGATCCGAATTCTGCGACAAGGAAATCACTCAGTAACAGTGTATGCTTC